ACCACCAACAATTTTAAGTTATCGAATCATCACTATATGCAAAATATTATTTAAGCAAGTCTTAAAATTAAGTCTTGCCCTTTCTGTTTTCCTTTTTTATTTCCCACGTTTCGAATACCTTTGATTTTAATATTTTAATGAGCGTCTTCCAAAATCCTTTGTAGGATATACTTATATACTCACAGGATAATTTATAAAATATTTGTTCCGTATGAAAAAAAAACACTTAGGTACTGGTGGTAGGATGTCTGGTGAGTCCCCACGGGTAGGTACCACCACCCCGCCTATTTCTGCCGTGGAGCAGTAATGCGTTTCGGTTTGAAGGGGGGGCAGCTGTTGTACTGTCAAAACTGAGACCTTACAACTTATGTCTCGAGGCGGGAGGCGGCATTTACGTTGTAGATGTCTATGGATTCCGGTTACCTCTTAACCCCAGGTGAACCGTGTACTCGTCCACCTAAGCTCCTAAGCTATAAAAAAAAAGTAACGTTTACACACAACCTCACCCTGACCTACGGCCGCTTTCTCAGCCGATAAACTTGAACACAAAATGCAGGAGATTCCTACGAGAACAGATGCTAGTTGTCGAGACAAAAGTTTTGTCAGTAGGTCGCTAGGTATTTGACACATTGACGATAAAGTATGTAAGTTCATCATTATCTCTTCAAACTTGGCCTGTTGATAACTTCATATTCATTTAAAATATTATAGATGCCGTTGTATCGGACCCTGTGGGTTTTTTTATTCATCACGATTCGAAGAAATACATTTGATATACATAATATATACTATATGTTTTCACCAGCATTTAATTTAGAATATGGAACTATAAATTACCTCACATTAGAACTCAATGTACTTATACAGTTGTACTTACTCGTTTAAAAAATTGTCTGGATTTAATGTTCTATCTCCCAAAAATAATAATACAATCTTTTTTTTAAAACTAACACTCAGTAACTAACATGGTCCAAAAACACAATTCCAAAATGTTTTTTGGTTTTTCAAATAATTGTTTCTAATCAAGCAAGTCTTTGCATTAAAACAATTGGACCACAAATTGGAAAAAGGGAATAAATCCAAAAAACAATAATGGAGAAATTTAAAAAAAACTTTATAACTTTTTACTTTCAACTTATAGGCTCACGTAACAACACTGATATTGAAGAAAATATAAATTCTTACTTATTTACTAATAGATCTGGCTGAAATATAATATTACTCATTTATACATATACATGTAAATGTGTTGGATTTATTCCCTTCTTCCAATTTATAAGATCTATATACAAAATAATTTCAAATAATGGACATTATGAAAACAAAAACAATTTTTTATTAGAAAAACTTAAGAACACTCTATTATACATCTATTTTTTCACTCTCGGAACTTGTAGTTGGCCAAGACAGAATAATATCGTAAAAATCTTTGAATTTTTCTGGAATGTATAGGGTTATTTTTTTAAAGTCGTTCATATTTTTTTCATTTATGGGTATTTTAGTAGTATATGCCGGAATTTCTGATATTTTCGGGTTGGTGGAAGGTTTTTAAAGCAAAAATGGAGCTTTAACGAAACCATCGATACATTCGGAACATGTCTAGTAACCTTTATGACTTGAACTATACTTAAAACTTCGATATTATGAGATCTTGAATGTTGTTGTCTTGTCTAATGACTTACAGCTTTTCTTGAAACATGGCTGCGATTAATTTTTAAAATCAAGTAGGTATGTCGTTTGAAGTAACAGGTTTAACTGTAAGCTCCTTGTTTTTAGCTGCCAAAGTAAGGTTGTTATATTCCTTTGGAACGTAAATTCTGTCTTTTTTCCTAATGAGTCTTTTAGCAGCCCCAAAATTTCTGTCAAATTGTAGAAACGAATGGCCATGAACAGGAAGATATTGATATATTTTCTCAAAATGATTTATTGCAACAAGAGTGAGTAAGAATAAGAGTGTTATTTCTATTTTGTCCTCCACAAGCATCGCTAAAATTTTCCATAATAAGCCGCATACTTCATCTGGACCCCGTTTAGCTTCACCCTCATGGTAAACAGTGCAGAAATTAGCAGAAAGAAGAAAGTAAAAATAACACTAATTATATACTCGTAACGTTAACAGTTGGAAGAAGGGAATAAAGGCAGGATTTGTTTCGTTCTTCCAAATTACCGTTTTTATGGCCGCATGAATCTATACAAAGTGAATGGTTTTTGTTTCTTTTTTCGAACTCACAATTTAGCACCACGTTCATAGAATACAAAAGTGTAAAAAACAGAATATGTCAAAAAGTGGCGTTTATTCCCTTCTTCCAATTGGCGAGCTCGAGGGTAAGAACAAGAAAAATCAGAAAGTATTGAGTATAGCTAAGACCTCTGCAACAGTATCCACAGATAATTCTGCAGGGTTTTTTTCTGTGGTTGGTAAGATTGCTACCAACCTGGAGATCTTTTCAGGTTTACCAGGGTGGCCATAGTTGGCTGCAAACTAGTACCAAATTTGTTCAAAAACTCATATTTTCAACTATTCATCTCCCCGTTGATATTGTGTGTATTCCGTGGGTTTTTTTTAATTTTTTTTATTGCTTAGATGGGTGGACGAGCTCACAGCCCACCTGGTGTTAAGTGGTTACCCGAGCCCATAGACATCTACAACGTAAATGCGCCACCCACTTTGAGATATAAGTTCTAAGGTCTCAGTACAGTTACATCGGCTGCCCCACCCTTCAAACCTAAACGCATTACTGCTTTACGGCAGAAATAGGCAGGGTGGTGATACCTACCCGCGCAGACTCACAAGAGGTCCTACCACCAGTAAATAACCAGTGCAACCAATAAGTAACGAAAAATAGATATGATCTTATTATATGAGTATGAGTTGAGGAATGAAAAGATAACTAACTAAAGATAACTAAGTATTTACAATTAATAAGATACATCTTTATCTTTATCCGTCTTAAACATTATTCTTATAGGTTTATTTATTTAATTGAAATAAGAAAAACTTTTTTGAGATCATATGTTTAATGTTATTATTAAAGTAGCCCTTATTTTGTTATTTGGTCCACTATAATTAAATAAATTAAATAAAGTACATTATAATGAAACTCGACTAATCAGTTGATGTGAGTTCATATGACTTTCATTTTGTATGTACATCGATGATGATGAGTTGTATAGAAGAACAAACTGGATAATAAATTTAATTTATTGGTCTAGATGTACTTTGTATTAGTACTTTGCTTATTCGTCATGTAACTATAAGTACGTTTTTCGTTCTAAATAGTAAGAATACCAATCTCAAAAGGGCACATACACACATAAAATAGTATTTTACTAGATTACTTTTATTAATCCTGTCAAACACAAGAGGAACTTAAGATTTTAAAGACTTCGGATAAATTGATAATTTACTTTAGTACTTATTACAACTTTGGATGAATCATGCCTTCATCGTACCTTACAATCGACTCTATTCTTAAGAGAATCCTTTTTGGTGTCACCATAGAGTTCAAAGTAATAATAAACTTGATCGTGAAGCCATTATATAAAGTATACGCAGATCCGTAAAAAATAAAAAAGGCCGGAGAAATGACGAAAATGCTTTTTGATAAAGCCAATGTACGTGTACATCGGTCTGTAGCTATCAAAGATGCTGGATCAAATCCTCCCTGATGCTTGGAACCGGATATTTAACTTATGTTATATAGAATTTTTTAAATTATAATTCTAAAAGATTGAGAATTTTAAAATCCACCAGACAATGTTGTTTGTCTGCTTCAGTTTTCGATTTTCACAAATGTTCTTGTTTAATTGAATGAAAGTTACTTGTTCGCTTATATAAATATAAATTCAGAACAACATACACGCAAAATAGGGAAATTATTATTTATAAAAAGACTTGCTTTGTTGACAAGGGGAAAAATCTATTGTAATAAAAATGTTTCCTTTTGCCATCGGTGAGGTCTAATAACAAAGAATGTGGAGAGTATCATATTCATTTACACCAGCCGATCAAATCTCGACCTATAAGCGCTACGCCAACAGAGGACATACATTTGACAAACAGGACTCAATTCTCACCCACCCGTACAAGTATCTCTCCGAAATTTATAGTAGTTCCAAGACTTTAGTTGGTTTTCAGAACTGGTTGAGCGTAATTATTGAGCTTTCACCAGACAAGGGCTAAGTATAGGGGGAAGCCAAATTTTATTCTATGGCTCTCACCTCTATGTACATACATGCGTATTACAAAATTCTACGCTTTTCGCATTGAACTATCTTCCCGTGGCGCATTTCCTATGAGTACAATAGCACGGTCAATATCCGTCCGTTCTGGCTGTAGGAAGATTCCAAAACCAATATCTCAATCTGTCCAATCCAAGACGTCACTGAACTCACAGTTCTAAATGCGGTTAACTCTATGTAAATGTTTCAGGAAATTTACAAAGTACTGTAAAATAGTCATTTTGTATATCTAAATAAGTTCACCAGCATTTTGCGGAAATCTAAGACTATTGGTGTCCTTTTATCAATTGAAGCAAAGAAATATCAATATCCCAATGAAATCAATTTTTAAGCGGGGTTTTGCTTAAAAATCTATTAATAAAGTTAATAAATTTTAAGTTGATCTGTTTCGAATTAATGTTGTTAATGTTTTTATTAGAATAGTGATTTTCTGCGGTTTTCGCGAGTCGTAAATTTAATTAAAACTAAAATGTTACTTAACCAGGAAAAATGTAAGGTACTCGAAACGCCCGAAATAATATAATGACAATAAAGAAAAGGCAAGATTAAACCGTAAAAGTAGTTTTACTAGAGAATCGTAATGGCTCATTAATTTCATCATAGTTACCTTTGATTGGCAATTTATTGTTGAAATATGTGCCTATTGGTGAAATGGCAAACGAGATTATATGGGCGGCTCAATAGGTATGCGCGGGATGGATCGTGTACTCGTGCGCCTGCGTCGGGGACTCGGCTGGCTTACTTGTCCCGTCGTGCGTACAAGCAAAGTGCCAGTCAGTAGCGCGAACAGCCCCGAACGGCACACACGATGGTCGCGCCTAAGCACGCGCTCGCCGCCGCGCTGCTGTGTGCTCTTGCAGGGCAACTCGGTGCTGGAGCTAGCCTGCATTGCGCCATGAGAAGAGAAATCTCCCCGTGCACCTGCCGACGTGAGGACACCGGCACCGGCACTGTCTTGGTAGTCTGTCAACGCATCAACGCTTATGAAGAAATCGCACGAGCTTTAACGAATAAGTTCAGTACCGAAACTAAAATCGGCCTGGACATCTCTTACTCGCAACTTCCGGATTTTGCAGAGCACAGCTTTCGCGAATTGGGACTCTCAATCACGAGGCTGAAATTGAACTTTGACAACCTAAGGCAAGTCGCTATGAAGTATTGTTAAATCACCCCCGGAAAATGCGAGATGTGGTGGGTTTTTTAACATGTGTTGCTCTTTTCAGTGTGAATTCTTCGTTGTGTAAAGTCATAATTACATATTTTGAATAACATTCACAATAAATGTGATCGCGATATCAAAACAATGTGTGAGTTGAATGAGAAAACAACAGGTCTGTGATAAGACGAGCGCAATACCGATGAGGATCGGCCCATTATCAACTGAGTGGGCGGCACCCTTTACAGGGTTGACAGTTCATCAGCTATGAAAACATATTTCGAAATTTTTTGGCCCACAGAACTCATTTTAAATACACATTAGCATTGGTATAAAATCTCAATCGCATTCTTCTCTCGGTATATTTCCCTTCAAATGGTGTTATTATTAAGATATTTTCTTATCAGCAATATTATCAGCAGCTAATTACTACAACATAAACGCATGCTCGAAAAGTGAAGATGTGTTAGGTAATTGACGTTCTACGAAACTATTTTCGGTACTATCTTTCTCATAAAACAAGAATTAAGACGCCCGTGACCCGGAGGTTCGATTTTATTGACCGTTCAATTGATCTTCACAGATTTTCCAGTCAGCCTAATTACCGGTACCCTCTTCATAGCATTTTCAAGGGGCCCTTTAGCTATTCCTTAATGTCAGGTATAATTCTTATGGGATGGTTGGTTTTATTTCGTTTACATCATCATCAATGATATTGGTATTCAAATATTCAAACTTAGTATCTGGCAGATGCTGATTTAATACCTAATTATATAATGCTGTTGAGTTTGCATTTCGTGTCGAGGTTTGCGAGGTATGAGGATGACATCTTAGAGACGGTACTCGATAGTTTGTCCGGGTTATCTAAGGTCGCTTCTAAAGCAGTAAAATTGAATGATATCATATTGGTCTTGTATCAACCGTGTTTACCCATTAATAGGGAACTAACAAATTAATGTGTTAAATGTTTATCAAAACTATTAGTAAATGGGTTTTTAATATTTGTTTCTCGTAAGTACTTTCTTAAATACTTTCCACGGAATCATTACGTTTTAACTAATTTAAAACATTTAACATGGATAGCCTTGAAAGACTCATTGATTCATTCTTTTGCCTGAAATGTTCCTTCATACTATAAAGGATTATATTCAATAAAACTAGTAAAGTGTTTCCTGGAAACCACGACACTGAAAATGAAGGCATGTACAAGAGCTAATGTTTTTAATACGATAAACAAATAAATCTTGATTGACTGATAGAATCGATATATTTCTCTCAATAATGGTTTTTTCACAGCGCGCAATGTAAGATTATTAGTATGCGTGAGACGTCCGCGCTATTTGGTTTAGCATTCTATTGCGGGCTCATAGAGTAAAATCTTATTCCTCATTTACGAACGGTACTCGTTTGTTACAGTTTCGGATCCGAGGATGATCATACGTGTAACCATATTGCAATTTGATTTAACTTACAGTTCTCTGGCCAGTCGCCTACCGGCCGTCAACCCTTGTTAGGAATGAACTTATTAATGAAATAAAACAATATTGATGTAACTATCAGAAAAGTAACGGAATCATAACAAACGGGTTTCAAAGATAAGAGAGATTGGCATTTATTGACTCAACTACAATCTACCAGAAATATGAGTGCTCGTAGAAAATAATTTATAGTTTAAAAAACATTAATATATATTTATACTTTTATTAAATTTGGATTCAATAAGTTACCGAATTACCAGCTCTAGTGATTTTGAATTTTTCAACGGTTCATCAGACGTTGAAGCCTTAGCATGCAATAGCCATAAAGATTATAAGATCTTCTATTTCAAAAGCTAAAAATTAGTTATCTTGTTCATTCCGTGCACGGAATCAAATTATCATTGTGCAATATAATGTGACTTTATGGTAATTTTCCATAACTTTTTTATGAACTCTAGATAAACAAATAAACCGACGTATTCAATGTTAACTGTCTTTTCTTCTTAAAAAAATAGGAGCCAACTGGGAAAAATCTATAATTTTTACCTACACATCTCGTTTGCCTCAATTTTATAGATTTGCTGGTGCTTTACAGAACACTGTTGCTTTTTTCCAGAATACAACAATATATCCATACTTTATATACTTGAGATATTTTAAAAACCAAATTTTCGGAGAATGTCCTAGTCGTTTCTACTCGTCGCCGAATGGTCTGCTTGGTGCGGTATCGCGTCGGTTTACATGTCCACACTTTACAAAATTTTGTATACGGCCTAGAATGACCTTTGCGATGGTTGCGTTGTCGCGCAGTACACACACCCATAGACTCAATCCGGAAAATCAAATCTAAATTCTGCAGGAACGCCGTCGGTGCGACTTAGTTTTTAAGGAATGTAGATCTTCACGACCATCTGGGTTTGGAATCCATCAAAAAATTACAAAAACAACTGTGGACCGCTATTTCGGAATGCCGGAGCGACATTCAAGCCCTCTTGTCTTAGTCGCCGCTAGCTACACTCCTGATCCGATTCATGCAGGAGCCAGTCACCATCAACGCCCTAGATACCTACGACCTAACGGATCTATCTATACGACCCACTCTGAATTCTGTTGGACATTACTGATAACAGCACTCATCACACATCACATAACACACCTCATCGTAGTCGTCAAATTCGCCGAAGAGTTCGACATGAACCTTAGAATCAGCTCGTTGAGTTTCTTGCTGGATCTTCTCATCTAATGGTAGATGCACTCGCGCTTAAGCTGTTAGGTCTACTCTAGGGGCGCTCGGGAAGCTGTGGGAAAGCCTTCCCCTCCTGGTTGAGTTTTCGAGCTTAGCCAACCCTCCTAGCCAAACGCCAATGGCTCTTGACAAACCGCGATCCGAATATCCCACAAAACTGGACATCGCAAAACAAATCGATTTGCTATGCCATGCTTTCAAATGTATTTCGGGCGGGCTATTCCTTAAAACAGTATGATGTGACAGTTTCAAAGAAGCGAGAAGAAGTGAGCGATGGTGCCTGAAAATATTAAATTATAAATATGTATTGATGGTAACAATCTGCACTCAAGTTAGTATACGAAGTATTTATTTCATATTCTGATCGAGCTTTTTGTTCCCTTTCGCCCTAACGACAGACATTTTTTATAGATGAATATTATAAATACATATTTTGTTATTTTATGTAGAACGTTAAGTCACCGTTCCCGAGGAAACGGAAATGACGTTATGTAAATGGAAAAAAGTGTCCTTTTACTAAAGTAAGGATGCTTTTAAATGCTGGTATTTTTACCATTTAGTATCGAGCCACCTGATGGATAAGTAAGTAAGCAGTTTATATTTTGTGAACCTGTGAATGCTGTTATGAATCCCAGCTTTGCCTCTAAGTCGTAGATTTAGCGCATCTGTTCGTTTTTTTTAATTATAGTCCAATACATTTAATGTAAGAATAGAATTTTTCTAATGACAAGCTATTGACTAAGTATCGCCGGCTTCACCATCTCTCATCACTTTTGTAACGTTAATTATGAAGTATACAAATATTATTTTACTGACTGATTGATATTTTTGTACACAGTACAACAACAACAAATTTATTATGAAAAGAATTTTTTTTTTAAAGAATATCTCCAAAACAGAAAACATTTACGAAAAAATTTTACATGACGAAACACATTTTTAAATTAAAGTCGTGCTTCGAGTCAAATACTGTAATAAAGTCGTTGTTAGTACGTTAGCCTGCTACACAGATAAAATTATTTATTATCTATTAATTAACTTTGCCAATTTTGGGTGGACAGTTACCTACTATTAACTTAAAAGTCAAACACGTAAGAGATTTTGCCGCCAAATTTTCAATAAACGACATCCTGACATTCTGATACATATTATTTTCTTGACTATTAGAAAACAGCATTGCAGAAATTTCTAAAGACTACGCTAATTTTGTATTGTATAAAATATGTATAATAAAAGTAAAAAATTGTTGCACCAATATACTAACCAATAAACCTGAAAAGTTATTGAAATGAAAAAAAATTAAAAATGTGAGATTTTTTTTTTTAAATATTATCGTAAATAATTATTAGAAACTTAAATAACATTCACAGGGGACTTACCTGCCTGAAAAAAAATCAACGAAGTCGATGATGCCTTTGTTTTGGTCGCGACATTTCAAATTTACAACTTGCACATTTAACAATTAGTTAAATGATTTTGAGGAAACCGTTTCGAATTCTTTTATTCAAATTATTATTATTTTATTTTAAAACTAGACACGTTCCATATTATGCAATATTACGACGGTAGTGTCGTAACATTCGACAGTAATGTGAACTGCTTAATAGATTACACCTGAAGCGAAGCCTGTGCGATCACTCCCTTATTTAATTGATGTTTTTATATTATTTGTTATCAGGCAATGAATTCGAATTCAGTGATGTACAGGTAAAATACTCATTAGGTCGCTGAACTGTTTCTCTATTTCCACATCATAAAACTATATAAGAGACAGTCTTTATTTTCATTCAACGTTGTCGTACTGCCACGTTTTGCTAATATACAACACCAACGATCGGGGCCAACAAGCAAGTTGATCAATCGTTACATTTATGCTGTTCTATTGGTGTTTTTATTAGAACTGATTTTTTTGTTAAAAATAATAAGACCGTGCTTGTAACTTTTATATGAGCAACTATTAGAATACAGCTCAATACAAAATAACTTAGCAGCGCATTTTTGTGAATGTTCACGATTGTTTCTTGTAAATTTCGAATATTAGGCTAGAGTTACTGTAGGTCAATTGCAGTTCTGTTTTTAATTTGTTCTGTTGTTAATAGAACATTGACATATCGATTTTTCTAGCAAAATAATAATATTTTACAGGATATCGTCTGAACATGTTTTTGTTTTAAGATAACATACAATGATCTGCCTATTTTCTGTAAGAACTTGAATCCTCTGAACTCCTAGATATTTTATTAGTCGTAAGAATTGATTG